GTATCATAATTATCACTAATGGATATGCCATAACTCTTAGAGATGTAGAAGTTGAATCTTGAGATTTTGGACCCCGAACTGGGGAGCCAAGTCATGGACTTTTAGCCCGAACTCTGGAGCCATTAGGCCATTTTGAGCCTAGTCCAAGTAGGTTATGTCGACAACCACGAATGGTGATGAATCCATCTAATAGAGAATATCTAACTAGGGTCTAATAAACATATTAGAAGGAAGTTTGACATCGATAGAGCAAGGGGGGTCAACTTAATGAAAAAATTACCTTGATTTTTAGAGTAAAATCAATATATCTGTAGATATAAGTTGTATGTATTTTGAGGTAAAGAGTTGGTCATTTAGACACTTGCAAAAATTTCAAACTCCTCACCCTCCAGTGATTCCCATACCAATCGATCACTAATGAGAAAGAATGATCAAATAAAAACACTTGAAGTGTTAGGGATCAGTGGATTTAGAGATATGGCTATTTAAGATGGCCTAGTAGGCTTAGACTCCAAAGTTACAGAATTGGCTCCTGGGTTCGGTTTTCAAAGCCAGCTCATAAAAGACAAGCATATTAGAAATTGCAAATAAACAAAGTACAGTTAATCAATAGTTACTACACCACTACTAGTGATGATTTAATCATCCTATAGCATTAAAAAAATGCAATCGAAATTAAGTACTACAGGATTATCATCATTAGATAACTAATATATGAATTTATTATACCAGATGGATAAATATGGAATTTCTCAAAATTAATTTAACCCTAGAGATTTAAGTGAACTTTTGAGATTTTTCTCTAGACCCAAGGTAAGACATCTTGAATCTATAAGCTATGATCACACATATCCTCTAGTATAAGTTGCAATGAAAAAATTAATAACATTCACTAGTGGAGATTTTACTAGAGCTGATGCTCCAAAGTTCGGAAGTTTCAAAAAAGTATGAACAACATAGTCCACTTAAGGAATGCAAAAATATAATATAAATGTTACTCAACCTAGGTTAAGAGTTTATTTTTCTTAATATTAAGATTTTTTGAAGATAGAATCGACGATTACTTTTTTGTAATAGGGTATATGTGAGAAGTTTTTGATTGAATATAAGTTTGAATAGGGCAGGAAGGAATGAGATCATTCGTTTTTGTCATCTTGCCTTCTGGTTGCTTGGTACTAAGGCTGGTGTGAACTACCCTAAGTCTAGGCAGAGCCTGAGTATCTTGTATCCTTAGATCTAAGAGACACATACTGCTCATCAGCTCTAGGATAGTCATTGCCTTTGAACCTCTTGGTAGTGGTAGGTGTAGGATTGAAACCTGTAACATCAGCATAAGAGAAATAAGAGAGACCTTTGTCTCTGTGTTCAATAACATTATCTCTATCAGGTAGACTTCTCTTCTTACTTCCTACATTAAGTAGGTTCAAGGCTCTGCCTCTCGAGTTAGGATTAAGATTTACAGCTCCTTTGATGAGCTGGTACATATCGGCTTTGATTTCAATAAATCTCTTGTTTTTTCTAGCAGCCTCATCTTATCTATTCTTTAACCCCATCTTGATGTTGTGTTCGAAGAACATTGGCTTCACAGTGTTGATTATCTAAATACACTAAGTTAGATTTCAACTTACGTTGAAGAAAAATTGTCGATTAAGAGGTCTACCATCTTTACGATCTGGTAGGTACATCTTAATACCTCTGTCACTGTAAGCATCTTAAGTAATGGATTTTGCTGATAATTCAGACATCTTGGGTACATTCACAATACAAACTTCATGAGTAAGGAATACCTAATGAATGAATTGCTAATCTTACCTTTTTGCGACCACTGAAGACTTCTCTTAAGAATTCGATTGAACAATCGGCATAAGGGGGTAAGTAATACTAGCCTAAAATGATTTAGTTACTTTTCTAATCATACCTTGATTCACAAGGATCGAGTAGATCTCTTTCTTGGATTTCATAATGGATGCTAAAGCACTGGTTCTCACAGTGTTAACTACCACCCCATCAAAGTTCTTCTTTTATTCCAAGATGTTCGAGTCTATCTCGACTTCTTACTAAGGTCTCTCTTAATTCTATCTACTTTAGGGCCTTTAGTATTCTTAGTAAGACTGGTAATGAGAGTCGGCGTAAGTTTCAATCGAATCGCGAGCTCTCTTACGATTTTAATCCATGGGGTCTTACCCGTACATATGCTGCTGCATGAACTTGTCATTCGACTGCTAGTTAGAGCCTTAGTTGTTCATCAAGTGGGCAGGAATTGACACTTGCTCCATTTAATCCTTGTCACGAGTTCCAGGACCATATTCATAGTCTGAGTCTTCATTGCCGATGTGATTGGCATCAGGAGTCTTACGCTCTTCAATTGCATGATTTTGAGCAGCATATTGCTGCTACTCGAGGGTTTGTTGCTGCAACTGATTATTGATTTATTCGAATTCATTCTACATCTAGGCATTCATTGCCTACCTGGCCCCATCAGCCTAGGGCAAGTCGAATCCACTCACTCTCGGAGTGGGTTATCTCTAAAGTCCAGCCCCATTTGACTATTTTATAAATCCAGAGTTTTTGACTTACCTGGGCGATTTGGCTCTCATTTCCCTCATCTAGAGCGTAATCGAATTCGTATCCAACTGAGGAGACCTCGCCTTCCTCGTACTAGCCTCCACCGTCTTGACGGTAGGGTGTCTGTTGATTGCTATTCATCAGTAAGCGACCAGAAAATTATAATCAGCTGCTGATTAACGATAGTTGTAGCTGCAATTACGATTTAATTTTATTTCTACTAGTGCAAGCTTTTTATTGCAAGGGCCTCTAACAGCTTCAAAATATGCTCGTGAATCGCAGGTATGTAGGGTCTGTAGTTACTGCAAAATTATATAACTGGTACATGTATGTTACTCGAACTTGTGAGAGTCTAGTGGTGAGTAAGAAAGTTATCGTTTCATTCACAAACCCTACATATTCAAATTTTGC